AATTGCCAAACCCTACCTAATTTTCATAATTTGTTTTTAAATATCAAAACCTCTAGCCCTTATTCATTCACATACCAAAAAATTGCCGTGGCTCGAAAGTACGTCGACTGGCGTGCTTCAAAATAGGACGTTTAATATGGGAGCATAGCAGTAACAACTATACCCAATTTCAAACATGTGGGCCAAACGGTTCCTGAGTTATCGTTGACCGAAGCGAAATGTTGACAGACGGACGGACGGACGTACGTACGACGGACGACGACGACCCATGGCAATAGCTCAGCTTGACGATGTCAAGGTGAGCTAAAAATGGTGAGAATTCTCACCTCGCATTCAAAACAAGCGCCACCTAGTGAGCTGATGAGGGTTCTAATGTGCACACGGTCCTCCTTGCTGAATCCAGTCAACTGAAACTGCCGTAAAGATGGTACGCTTGCCATTGCCCCAACAGGATGGTACTGTAACAAAGAGATCACACTAGAGCCTTACTAATCCTAGTATCACTAGTACTGTAGTAATAGTATCGGAAGATAGAATTACATTTACAGTTTTACATATCTAATCTAAAGCCATATCGGAAAGTTCCCGCCACCATATTGAGATCGGATAAGAGGGGGTACAAACTGCCCTTTTATAACATGGGTAGGATAGGACTATTCTAGGTTTTTGATCTATAATTCTCTTCACTAACGCTGAGAGGGTCTATGTCCCCCCAGGGTACTGCCGAAACATACCCTGGGTACGGTCCGGTATACCGGAACGTACCCTCGTACTATCTAATATGCCGGACCGCACCTCGCCTACTCCACTAACGAGTCTAGGGAGTCGCCTACGCCTAACCCCTAACCCTAACCATATCAAATAGTGACCAGGGTACGTTCCGGCAGTACCCTGGGGGACATAGACCCTATGAACCGAAGTAACAGTGTGAGTATTTTTAATTAATTTCTGTTCGATGCTTATTTAGGCTCTAGTCTCTACTGTTGTTCCCCACCTCTACTAGTACTACTACTACTACTAGGCTCTAGTACTATAGCCTGCAGTACTAGCGGAAACTGTACGCGGGCTATAGTACTAGAGCTACGGCTCCGCCACTTATATGGCTTTAGCTTAGTTACTTATATACGCATTAGTGAGTATCACAGCACGCGCGAAACGGCCACAAACTTTTCTCTTCTGTTAATGATCGAGTTACTGACGCTCATAGGGTCTATGTCCCCCAGGGTACTACCGGAATGTACCCTGCAGGGTTCTCCCTACGTTAGCGCCAACGGGGCGCTGCGCGCCCCGTTTGGGAAAACCTCCCCCTGTTTGAATCGTCTTGGAGCACCCCCGTTTTAAATTACCTCGCCCCGCTTTAACATTCCACACATAAAGTTTTGCAGCGCTGGGATTGATCGGTCAAGAATTGCGTTCGACAGGACATCAGACGCGTGTATTTTTACCGTCAAGGCCATGCACGTAACACAAAAGTTTTTAACATTGTAAAGACAGTACAAGTTAATCCTGGACAATTGCACAGTTAACCTGTCATAACTGTTAACCGAACTCGGCTATTTATTATTAAAGACCCCACAATACGTCTTTGGGTGTCTGTTGGCCGATGTTTACGCATTAATTAGTCGTACGGTAAAATACACACCCACGGGACCCCCCCTAGTTCCCCTCCTCCTAGTTTCCCCCTTCCCCTCCCCTCCCCCTGTTGATTTCATTCGTGGGAGAACCTGCCTGGGTACGGTCGGTATACTCGGACGTACCCTGTGATTACTTCCAGATGAGTCGGGATCTAGAGAGCGTTGCCGAAGGAGAGTGTTAATCAAAGCGTAAGCGCAGATCTTGCGCGCAGTTCTCGGCAAGGCGCACGCGGACCCGCCGGGACGTTCCTACGACAGTATGCAGCGCTGGCAAGCTATGGATGTGCGCGAATGGATTTGGGCCGGCGCACGGATCCTAGCTGCCAGCGACAAGTCCAGACAATTCTTAGATGTGTCGGGCACGAAGGTAGACAATTTGGGACTGTGAACCAGTGTGCACTTGTTATAAAACATAATGTCTGTGTTGGCGTAACGGCTGAAATGTGCGCGAAATCACCAGAAGACTGACGAATTCTCGCCGTTCGGCGAAGCTTGCCGAGTAATGGAAATGGCTGCAAGAGAATGGCTGTGTAGACTGGGGACTCGCTCCAGTCGATTACCATCGGTGACTAAGCTAAGCCGAGACGTGGCTGCTGAAGCAGGGTCCTATGTCCCGCGGGAGTACTGCGAGACGTACTGGGTACGGTGTGAGTACACCGGAGTTGACCTGGTTACATCTATTATGCCGAACCGTACCTCGCTCCTCACTAACGGTCTGGGAGTCGCTTTACGCCTTAGCTTCCCTAACCAACTCTAACCCTAATTTCCTAACCCGTATCATATAGTGCCAAGGTGAGTTCCGGGTATTATCGGACCATACGCCAGGGTTGTTCGGCAGTACCTGGGGGCTTAGACTATGAGGTTAGTAAGTGTATGGGACGTAATTAACCCTAAGTTCTAATGGCCCTCAGTTATTACAGAAATGTAATAACCCTGAATGTTCCATTATATATTATGTACAGGTTATTTTGTACTGCTAGTGCTAGCAGTCTAACATATAATCGATCGTTAGTCGCAGATGTACGGTTATGTGTCTTTGTGGAGTTTCTGCATGTATTTGCCCTACTGGCTCATAAAGGGGTCTATGTGATCCAAGGCCGTCAGCCCTCTCAGCCTAACTGACCCTTAGCTATCAGTCTATTGATCCAGTAGGCCTATTGGGTATACGCAATGCCGTACACTAACCTACATAACACACTAACAGTATTAACCTTAACTGCTGTCTTATTTTAACCGTTAACTGCTCCCATTGTGGCTACTTATTTAATGCAATCGTGCTTGTAAGCTATCGAGTAAATCGATCGTGACTTTTGACTTTTCATTCTCTGATTTGTATGCACGTTGTTATTGTCCAATATTAATGTTCTGTTTGCATTGTTCTTGTAATATGTGTTATTTGTATTGTTTAACGTGCTAAATAATGAAATATTAGATGTGAATTTTTTTATATATGTCTTTTAGGTCCCTTTTTCACGATTTTTTGTTTGACAAATTGTTGACACGTTCTATATGTAGTAGTTACTAGTAATCTTGCCGGCAATATAATTACATTGTCCGGTCCTTATGTACTTACTGGCACCTAACATCACCGGCGCCTCACCCTCAGATTGAGTTAAGGTGGACTATGGTTTGCAAATACGCATCATCCCGATCGTCAGGCTTCATCTTTGATTCTGATCAACGCAAAGCGAACAAATAATGTCTGGACTCAAGATCGGCGCAAAACTTCTGCTCAGAAGCTTGGCGCTTTGCTGAAAGACCGCCATTGTTGTTGTTGAATGCTGGTTGCTGCGATCTGGTGTTACTTGCGGATAATAACGAGCACAAGAAATTTCATGGTTAACGCTGAGCAATAGGATGGTGACATCGGTCGACAGTTCAACGCCGCTACACTCGTGGTAGTGAGACGTGGTGTTGTACGTGCCGTTAGCGTTAGAGCGAAAGTATAACATTGTTTGGCGCCGTTGGGCGTTGCCTGTACAGGAAACTAGGGCTTATGTGATATAGACGCGTACGCGGACGGGGCGCGGGCCCGGCAAAAACATCTCGCTGGGCCGCCTGCGGGCAAAACAGATGAGACGATAATCGTCAGTTTGGTGTCCATTGACTGGTTGGCGGTCATTTAGCCCGCATGTATCTCTCGCTCCAACTAACTGCGTCGCTAGCTAAACTCTCCACCGCGGGGCAGTCTCACTAGCTAGTTGCCATTGTTTCTTGGAATTCCTCATCGGACAGTCCTCGAAGAGGACTCGATCAGCCAATCTATGCCGGTAGCGATCAAGTACGGAATATTCAGGGCGTATTATTAAAAATTTCAAAATGGTTTTTGATACAAAAAGAACTAACGCTCGCAACCAAAACATTCCAATCTCGAATTGGAGTTATTTCGCCGTAGCGTGGCATTCAATCCAAAAGTTTGTCCAAGGCACAATCCTGAATGACCGATAACACACCCGTCTGATAGACATTTAAAGTCATATTGAACAGCGCAGCATTTCGTTCTAAAATAGGCGACCGGTGCGCGCAGCGCTTTCGCGGGATTCGTGCAGGACTGTCTAAGCTTGATGTGATACTGGAATGGTTTTAGGTTTAGGTTGGGTTAATGAGTAGAGGTTAGGGAGTAGGCGACTTTAGACTCGGTTATATATGGAAGGTAAGCGACGGTCGGTCCTGCTAGTCCGATGCATAGTTATACTCCGCTTTGTATATGAGAGGTGCGGGTTTTATCGAGCTTATGCGTTAGGGGTTAGACTTAGCGGAGTTTATCCATTATTGGAGTGTCATGCGTTCAGGCTCGCGACTACTGGCGCATATTAGATATGTCCAGGGCTACGTTCGGCGTTCTGGAATCTGGATCTGAGAATAGTTTACTGCGTAGCCACGGTTTCGTGTGGATTATTAAAACCCCGCAGGGACATTCCGTAAGGAATTAACGCTCCAGGGCTAATAGCTAGCATGAGGTCGATGACTAGATTAGGTGACGGTGGTACGCCACAAGGTACAGTATTTAGCCTTTTAGCGAATGCACTGACTCCTGAGGGTGGTCACAGCCAGGAACGTTCCTTTGGCCACTCAGTGGTTCTTTTACGTCCCCATTACGGTATACCGGCCGTACAGGGTTACGTTCCGGCAGTCCCGGGGGAATAGACCTCTCAGCGTTAATGACTCTGTTCCAAATGCTGGACTTGAAGAATGGGTTTGTTCGATGTTGTCCATTTGCCAATTGGCATTGCATTCTGATTAGTTCCGCATAGCCGATGTGTTGTCCGATTCCACAACAAATATAAAATTTGAACTGTTAGATTATTCCAGAATGGAATCGCATGCCCGCAAACGTGAAAATAAGAACAACTTCCTTAAATACACCACAAAACCTCCTACCTTGACCACTAATACTGTTCATATGGTAACGAATCTAACGATCTGCAACAACTGTAAACAAACGGTGTGCTTCGGCGCGAAATACCGTTGAGAGAACCGTCGCCCCCCATATTTATTGGTCTCTATTGCTGTTAGGTTCTGTCGTCGTGGCGTCCTGACAAATTAGGAACGGAAAACCGATTTCGCTCTTTGTATTCATAGACCGATGACCGAATGGAAATGGTCCGAGCATAGGGTCCGAGGGTTCCCGATTGACAAATTACGGTCAAGCGTCATCAAATTTGAGACGATCTGAGACGTCATCAAAAGTCCGAAAAATATTTATATCGTGCCCAACACAGAAATATATCAAGACACTTAAGTATGTTTAATTAAACAGTCACGTATATCGTATAAATATATATATATATTTCTGTATAAGTTATTTATTCAGATATATATTATCAGATTTCGTGATAAGCTGGGTTTCAGCCAAAGATCGTTAGAGTGAACAAGATAACCACTCATGCGAATCGCGATGCCAATGACGCTGTAGTAAGCAAAACCCGCTCCACGTTGTTATGATACACTAGAAATTATGTAACAGGGTTAATTATATTATATATATATATTATATTATAGTGTAATAGATAATATTTTATGCATAGCTGTTAAATTCTCCTTCATGTACATATCTACCAATGATTATATCGATGTTACTACTGTAAGTATGTCACAGGTGCAGGACGTGTAGTGTAGACAGTGGATTACAGGTGCACAGAGGGAAGTGACTTACGCACGGCGGAGGCCTGTTGGATAGATTCAATGATGACTATAACGCACGGCCGCGTGTGGGCCGACTCAATATGGAAGGAGATGAGGAAGGGGAGGAGGGAGAGCTTGGTTGGGGAAGAAGGGGAGAGCGGTGTTGGAGAGGAGGAGGGAGCAATGAAAGCTGGATGGGAAGGAGGGGAAGAAGAGAGAAGGTGGTGGAGAGGAGGCGAGAAGTCGGTGGAAGAAGAGAGGAGGGGGCGAACCCCGACGGAGAAGGTGGATGGAGAAGGGAGGGAGAGGAGAAGCTGGGTTGGAGAAGGAGGGGGCGGAGAAGGCGAGAGGTGGTGGAGGAGGGGAGAAGCTGGTGCGGAGGAGGAGGAGATGGAGGGCGGAGAGGGAGGCTGGTGGCAGAGGAGGGGGACGAAGGAGAAAGAGCTTGGTGAGGAGGAGGTAGGGGGAGAAGCTTGGTCGCTAGTTCTCTTCTCCCAGCTGTCTCCCTTCCCCTTTCTCTCTGACCTAGTATTCTCCAGCGTCTCTCCCTTCTCCTTTCTCACAGATTCTCTTCTCCCCTCCTCTCCCCAGCTCCTTTCCCCCTCCTTCTGACACTTCTCATTCGTACCAGCTCTTCCCATCCTTCTACACCGTTCTCTTCCTCCACACTTCTCCTTCTCACCTCCTCCCTTCTTCCCCGGCTTCTTCCCATCTCCACCACCTGTTCTCCTTCTCTTCTCACTACTTCTCTATTTCTCCCTTTCTTTCTCCCTTTTCCTCTCCTTCTCCACAAAGCTCTCCTCCATCTCTTTCACCAGTTCTCCCTCCTACATTTCTTACCCCTCCTCCAACACCTTTCCCCTTCTTTCCTCCGCTTCTCTCTTCTCCAAACTACTCTTCTCCCCTCCTTATTTCACCACGCTTCCTCTCTATCCTCCACCTTTCTTCTCTGTCCTCTTTCTCACCAGCTTCCCCTCTTCTTCTCACACCCTTCTTCTCCATTTCCTCCTTTTAACCATCTCTCCTCACCCTCTCCTTTCTCCATGCTTCTCCTTTCCCTCTCATTTCCTAGCGTTGGAGTCCGCCCCGGCCGCGTGAGTCTAGCATTTGAATTTATCAACCGGCCGCGTGCGTTATAGTCTGGCGTCATACAGTGGATACCGTGACAGACGTATAGGACCGTCTCAACAAATAATGGTAATAACACTAATGTTTTTATCCAAAGTATTAATGGTTCTCTACTATATTTCGCTATTATTGTCGATACTTGCTGTAAATGCGTTTTAATGCTTATCTGAAAACACAAGTAGTGAAGTCACGGCACGTCGCCCTGTGCAACAAACACATGCCCATGGTATACATGTATCACGAGATTGCGACGCTTTCAGATGGATTCGGCAAAAAGAATGTTTCTCATTTCGTATTTTGGGGAACCGAGAAAGACTAGTGGGCTCTACACTGACGATGTCGAGCATTTACGAGACGAACAGTAAGTGAGTGAAGACAAGATACAGTTGCCACAAGTAGCAGATTACGAAAGATCCGGATTTCGTGTGAACTTGTTATAAATGGCGCGTTGTGGGGACTGACCTACTAGCTATTATTGGAGAGTGCGTTCATCGTTGTGCTACGGCATATACGATCTTTGGTTCTACACTACCGAATTTTTGCAGGGCAAGTTGACGGCAGTGTATAGGGCCTAAACGCAAAAGTCGCGCGAGCAATTACCGTTTATACTAACAACTGGTTGGGCGATTAGAACCTGTTCTATTTACCAAATTCGTTGTTTGCGCAAAAACAGGGTGTTTGCTATGCGGCCACTCGGAGAACAGCAATCAGGCGGTGTGCATGCATGTTCCCCCAACCAGAGGGAGAGAATTTGCGCACGCTTGGCTGAGTGTGGGAAATGAGTACGGTGGGAAAATAAATATAATGCCTGCATGTCGATCGCACCCCGGCCACACTGAAACGACCGTGTTTATACATACACACGCACGCTACATACGCAACTGTTACATACGTACGTATATACAGAGGTTTATTGCATAACCTACAGGATCATATTGTACTGTCCTAGTCTGGGACTCCGCTAAAATGTGCTAACCAGGATTGGGCCGATCATATTGGCCCGCTCGTACTGCATATATAAACACAGATCGATGTGTGTGGTGTATGAACAGGCATTTACATGTATGTGTGATTTTTACATACAGATGTAGTGTGCGCGGGTGGACGTGATACTGCAGCCAGTAGTTCATTGTAGAAATTAACATATCTCTATAGTGCTATAATAGTCTTAATTATCCTCGTATTCGAGGATTCCGAGTCTAGGATTTATCAATTGCGATTGCTCATGCAGGGATGCCCCGAGAAATCGAAGGCAAATCTTTTTATATATATATACTTATATGATAAGGCTGAATGCCTGTGGCATGTAGACACGGCTAAACATTTTTATAACATATTAAACGAATCTAGAACTAGCCGATCGAAATGGTTGTAAATCGCTCTACGGCGTATCTACTTTCGCTCCCACACACTCCGCGTTTCCTTCCACTTATCACTAATACCTCTTCTAATCAGCAAAGATATGACGAGCAATAGTAACCCTTTTTCCTCCATTGTCAACATTGCATAATCAATGGGCCTAGCTAGTATGCCTTTAATAATGACAAATTTGTCTTTATTAACCCCTGCCCCCACGCGTACGCTCGCGGAGGTTTACAGACTCGCATATTTAAGTGTAAACGCGATGCACAGCTGATTCGAACGGTTGATAAAGCGTTGCGAAATTGCACCTGATCAACAATCGTCCAGCATAACGTCGGTATAGTGTAACCCCAGTGGCAGAATATTAATATGGTGCCCAATTACTGTATAAGTCGTATTTTTCGCGTACAGAAATTTTTGCGAATTCAGACTTAACGGACAATTACCGCACAAGCACCGCACCCGTACATGAGCAAAAAATCAAGATAGGAAGACAGACACACACAGCAGAGAGATCTGATATTATATATATATTATATTATATAGAGACCGAGAGTAGAGAGAGAGAGAGAGAGAGAGAAGAGATGAGCAGAGAGATGAGAGAGAGAGAGAGACGAGAGGAGAGGAGAGAGAGAGACTGAGAGCAGAGAGAGAAGAGAGAGATTGGAGAGAGCAGGAAGAGAGATTAAGAGAAGAGATTAAGAGAGTGTATGACTGTGAAAATATAACGAATTAATAACTATAGTTAATATATATATATAATAGTATATATCGGACTCTCGTGTGTGTGGTGTGTCTGTCTTCCTCTTGATTTTTTCCCCATGTACTGGCGGTTGCGGTCTGGGTCGGCTCTCTTAACTAAACAACTTAAAACTTTAACATTTACTGCTCTGCAATTAACGCATCGAGCCACCATCTACCGACAGTATAGACTCAGCATCCAGACTTATATATATATATATATATCTATATATATATAGTCTGCGTTCCAACGAGGAGAAAAGCTGCCGTTCACACGCTAAAAATACGCAGCTTGCTAAGCCGCCTTGCCTTAGGCGCGAATGCTCCGGCTTGCTAAGCGCGGAATCGATATTACCGCGCCATCTAAGCCGCGTATATTGCGGCCTACCACGCGGGCCGCGTATTGCCACCTAGACTGGTACCGTTCGCTGCAACGAGTTAGTGTAGCGTGTGGAACTGTCGACGGGTACCAGTCTATATTATTCCTGGCAGCTAGCCTCGAATCTCGTGTAATCCGTGTGGAAGCATTTGACAAGAACTTAGCACCAACTAAGTACGGTACCAGCTAGGCCGTGTATACGTGTGACGCAGCTACTATTATATTAATTATTATAATTTTTCTAATATAGTGTGCGTGCGAGCGAGCGAGCGTACGTGCGTGTGCACAGGCACTTGAAACGTTCAATAGCAAAATGATGGTAAATAGACAATAAATGTATTCAAAATTACTATTCTTCATGTTTCTCTACTCTCGTTCGCCTATTATTGCCGATAAATTCCTGAAAAGGCCGTTCAAACGCTCTTCTACAACACATGCAAGTACACGGCACGCACGCCGCTGTTATGTGCACAAACAACAAGAATAAAAATTGTTCGTGTTCATTTACCATCATATTGTACGTGTTACCGAAACGTTCCAAATGCCTGTGCGTGTGTGTGTGTGTGTGTGTGTGTGTGTGTGCGCGCGCTGCGTGCGTGCGTGCGTGCGTGC